CATCATATTCAGTGACCATAACTATTTCTAGTGATCTTAAAAGCCAAGAATCCATCAAAATACTATTAAATTAGAATATGAATTTGCAATTATTTAACAAGCAAAACACAAGACTATTGTGGACAAATTCCAAGCATCTGTTACAAGATGGGTGGTCTGAGCATCCTGCTGGTGACAGTCCTGTGGATTAGCAATACCATCCAGGCATCTCACCCTTGTGGGAATTACCCAGCGACTCACTGCTACGCTTCAAATGCTGCAATTGTTGCAATGGGGCTTTTTGTTTATCTGCTGCCAGATTTTAAAGCATCAATTCTGGAGTAGAAAGGGTACAAGAGATTCAGTGCAGCAGCAAACGGCAAGAGCGTCATGCGATTTGCTATCCAAAGCACAACATCTGTTTGCTCTGTTTAATTGAGCAAGACGGTAGAGTGAATCATGTTTTGCTTGGCTGTCAGAAAAGAAAGAGTTAGCTCAGCAAGTAGAACTGGCCAAGGAAACACTCTGGTCATGTATCGAGCAGAATTGAAGCTCTCCAGGAGCATCAGTTAATCTTGTTGCTATTGCTGAACAATATTGAAGTAGTGCAAATTTCAAAATGCTGTGTAACATGGATGTTTATTCATTCTACATACCAAGCAAGAGTATGCAGGGTGGGCTGACTGGAGCTGCACACCAGAAAGTGGTACAGTCAATGAAAAATGCAGTTTTACAGCAAATACTTTTGCAAATTGAAATCAAATCCTGGGCATAGCGTTACCCAAAAGAAATACAGGAAATACTTTGAAAAAGTCAAAGAGTTTATTTTTATATTTTCAAAACAAAATTACTTTTTTTTAACTATAGTTTATATAGTCGGCTTTTAAATTGACAAAAAAAATCTTAAAAAGAAAGAATGCGAGAAAACGCATGTGAAAAAGTGTGTAAAAAAGTGAGAAAGAAAGATCTGTAAATGTAATAAGCTGATTAATCTGAAAAAATGTATTTCAGTCTAGAAACATCTCCACTTGTTACTTTTTGCTCAGCAAACATGCTTTTTCAACCTTGGAAGAACTTGAAAAAACATCCTGAATTTCTGCTGTGGCCAGTAACCTTCCTAGCCCTCTCCTCTCACACCAAGCCATTATCAGAGCAACTCTTCACGTATCTACACCTGACAATAGTTCTATCAACAGCCTTCACAGTGCTCATCCGAGCAGTGTCTAATACAATGTTTTAGGAGTCACTGTGCCATTAACCACAAGGAAGCCAAGCCCTGAGTTTCAGTCAACTGGCATTTGTCACTTTGCACCAACCTTGGATGTGCCATAAGGGCAGCATGCTGTGTGAAAAACACCACATCGTATATTGGTTTCTCTAAGAGCAGCTTATGTGAAATAAAGATTAAAAAATAACAGCAATTTACTTACCACTCATCACAAAAAACATTTCTGTACTGCTGCAAATACTTAATTGCATATATTTTTATCATGTAAATAATACTCAAAGCCTGATCTGTATCTAAAGTTCAACATCTTTAAATAATTTAAGAATGGGTTTTCACATACATTAGTGTCAGCTTTTCTTTTTTTTTAGTGCAGTGGTTTTCTGGGGATGCTCTGTCAGAAATAAAAGATGGTTTGCAATGTATGCTAGCAAAAGAAAAAAAGAACCAGGCTGTTTCTGAACTACACTAAACATTTTTGCAAATTTTATGCGAGTACCATGACATATCCATGGCCTTTCTATATTCTTAACAGACCTGCACAATTCAATTTACATTCCACAGCTCTTCTTTACAAGAAATACGATTTAGGTTTCTCTGGTGTTAGTTCAGCCTGAAACTCAACTGAGAGCTGTCCAGAATTCCTGCAACTTCTGCTGCAGAGAAATGAACTGTTAATCTGCAACCCTTCTTACCAAATTAGCAGGAGATAAGGTCAAAGGATCCAGACAATAAGAGAACTGCATCAATTACAAAGGTACGCAAAGGTAAGAGTGCTTATGGGGGCAGAATGGATGCTGACTTTTATCAGTTAATGGTAACAAATTTATCACCAGATTCCAGGCTATGCTGTTAGAAGAGCCTCATTAAGTGTTTTGCAGCTCTCAGGAACAAAGTGTAATGAGAGTTAGAGAACCTTCCCTTTTCCTTGCAGGAGGCACTGGCCCTGTGTCACCCCTCTGTGTAGGAAAGCAATGAATCTGTTCAAACGAAGCTCACTCCACCACCCCAGACCTTCAAGATTCAGCCAGAGAGTCTTAGAATACTGGAAGACATTAGGCCAGCCTGCCCACCTTCCACTGAGCGGAGCTGCAAGGGGAAGAAGCTAATTCCTTCATCTCCAGAACCCGCTGCATGAGCAAGACCAAGTTAGAGCAGGGTCTACTTTAACAGTCCTGCGAGCAGGCTCAATGTATTTGTTGGGTCGAAGGACAGACAACAAAGTCCTACATTTTTTGACAAACTGAAGATAGAAGAAAACTCAGGATAAAAGCACTTTGCTTTGTGTGGGGGGCATTACTCAAAAAAGCAAGTGGAATAAGGAAGTATTTTTTCCTCCCAAGCTTACTTTAGAAAGATGTTTCTGATGGTGAAGAAAAACCCTTCTTTTATCTTCCTTGTGCCTGTCTCATTAACAGAGCACATCCTATCTTAGAAGGAGGGATGTAGCATGCAGAATCTCCAAACACAGGTGAAAGAAGGTTTAAGTGCTCATGCCTGTAGCACTTTACACCATTTCCCCACAATACACACAACACTCACAGTACTCGTTGATAAAATCACTAACTGCCAGACCAAGGTTGTAGGGCTCTTGGGAATCCTCTACGGCAGAAGCTCCATCCCTGATCGAGCTTCCCATTTCTAGTGTGAATTTCACTGTTAACCTTTGCGGGGTGGTTGGGCAGGCAAAGCTGTTCAGTGATGCTGCACTGATTCTGTTGCTGTTTCTTTGTTTCCTCTTGCACAAAATACACACTTTTCTTGTGACTAGGATGCTAAGATTAACATAAACATTCTGTAAACATACCCCTAATGGGGCACTATGCCATTTAAGATACCAACCTCTGCATTCTCTTATCAAAGCAAATCTCTTTTTTGAATTGTAAAAAGAGCACCATTTAACTAATAATGAGAGGAGGAGAGTGGGTCTGGTCTAAGGGGAAAGCACAGCCTGGTGCCTGATCACTGTATGTTAGCAAACCGTGGTCTCGGAGAGCTTTACAGCATTCAATAAATTAACCTTACAGCACTCACTAATGAAGCTGTGCTCCATGGTCATGACTGGGGAAACAGCCTCCAAGAGCCAAATTTCTTGTCTCAGTTACACCTCTGCAACTTTGCAGACTTCCACACTGTGTGCAGATAAAGGCAGACTGTAGCTGACAAAGATGACTTGATTTTCCAAGGTTATGGGACAGACAATAAATGAGCCAGCACTGAAAACAAGGGTTCTGGTGCTCTTATCACTAGAATAAATACTAATTATGACAATTAAGTACTTGAATAAAGATGTATTATGGTTATATTTTTGGGTCTTTACAAGTCATAATCATATGTTGTTGGGTGGCAGTTAAATCACTCACTAAAAGGCAAGGTTCATACTATTTCAGAGATGCAAAATGGGTAGTAGTTTTCCAAGTGTGAAAAATCCACAGATGAGAATAAAGCAGGTCAGCAAATTTTCACATTATACTTCATAATTAGAAATCATATTAATTAATAATATACTAATTATTGATGATAGATGTTGTTCTCCTCTTGAACTTATTTACTCTGGAAACTGTCAGATAGCAGGACCTGGACTTTTTCACTCAAGTAAATACTTGAAACAATTCCATATTATTATAATTTATTTTACAAATCCTATGTTTCAGCTAAAACTTCTTCACTTTTTACTGCACTGACATATGAAGATGAGATCAAAGATGGGCAGAAATGAGTGAATATCCTCTTTCATGAGCTTGCTCTGAAAATCTCTGCTAGCAAACAATGAAGTGCAACCTTTATGTCCTTACTCAATTTCAGCTTTCATGAACTCTCCCTCTGATTCTGAGAATTAACTTCCCTCTATTTTCTCCCACTAACATATAAAAATGCACATATTGCAATATTAAATTCACAGGGGTAATTAATGAGGAAGTTCTTGCTGACGCTTGGCTCAAAAGGAGCAAAATCTGGTTTGTTAGCTTTCTACAAAATCTCAAGAGGTTATTATTCCCTTCTGATCCTCAGCTAGAATTCTAATTAATTAAGAGTAAGTTAGAAAAAAAGAAAAAAAACCTGAATTTTAACTGCATTCACATTTTGCAGGTACACTGAAATCAAGCAAATGCAAGCAGGCAAACGTAGATCCCACTTTGAAGATTAGTGACATTAAAGAGGATTTCAAACAGAGTTTTTCATCTGTGAAAGTTATGATCTGATAGACACATCACAAAGAATTAGTCCAAACACATAACCAAACTCCACGGCGTGCAATGTGGCAGGCTAACTGCTGAGGACAGAAATTATACTCCAGTTTTGCAAGGCACACCAGCACTTGTGTAATATGAGGCAGCCAAGCAGTCCCACAAACCAATGAGACTACTCACCTACATGCAGGCATTTTGCCGAGTAGAATCATCTAACCAAGTTTGTTCGCAAACCAACCTGTCATCAGCAATCCCATCACGCTGGGACAAGTGCTGTGTCCACGGCCAGCTTATATGGGCTTGGATAATAGTAAAATAAAGCCTAAAATCTGCTCATTGCAATTGCACAGCATGTTTAGTGGATGACTGTTTTCATCCCTCAGCACTGTAAAATTTACAAGGCAGAGGAGCATTTCACAGAGGTTAGGTTCCCTATTTCACTGTTGTCCTTTCAAAGTTATTATCATTCCACTTTTTCTAATATAGCCTGTTGACTCTGCTATCTATCCCATGTCCCCTCTGCTAGTAAGTGGATACTTACACATAAAGTGGCCAACACTTAACAATTTTTCTGCTAACACAAGCGGTGAAGAAATCCCACTTACTTCCACTCTTAAGCAGGTGTTGCTCCTCTTCCTTCAGCCTGTTCTGCATAAGACGCAGCATGTTTGCTGCTTCCTGTAAGAGGTGAAAACAACTGAATTAGAAAAGCTGCCACATTACCCAGTCAAGTAACTAACTGGATGGTCCTACAACAACAGTTAAGAGCACTCACAAGTAGAATGAGAATAGAAAATTTCAGCATTGAAAATATTTTATGAAAAAAAGGTCTTAATTGAAATATGGGAGCTCCTACTTACTTTGACCATGAGGGTCAGGATATAAAACATGTACCCAGGTAAAACAGTGCACTAAAAATCAACTGAATATTCCCAGTGGCTGAAACCTCACTTATCACATTGAAAATGAGTTCAGTTGTCTTCATCCCACAGAAGATTACTGCCATCACACAATGAAAGGGGCTTTCTTTGGAAAGCAGTCTTTGGTATAGCTGTTTTCAACCAACACTCCATTAAACACCAGAAGTGGTTTGTGAAATGACTGCAGCTTCGTAATACACAAACCAAACCAGAATAAATTCACACATTTCCATGCATGCAAACAAAATGGGAGCAAAAAGCTCTATCAATAAGTTGGAGAAATATAGCCATATACTATACTATACTATTTGGGTGCAAAGGAGAACCATGACAGTAAGACTGCACAAGGTGGTTTGTTGATTTTCTTTTTTGAATATAGCAGGTTGTTAGATAAAAATATGCTGAGAAACACTATTGTAATAACAGTATGATACAGTTATGACAAATGCAGTTAAGAGCAAATGGAAGAAGGTAGGTAGAACTGGTTGCTGTGCTGAGGAAGAGAAGCAAATCACAAGTCTCAACCCATTCAAATGAAGGTCAATGGTAAAAGAAAATGTTACAAAAAGGCCCACAAGGACTTATAAAAGCTTGCATAGTCAACTGAGTAAGAAATGTGATAGCCCAGAAGGGAAGAAGCAGGCTGATGGTAGCAGGGCGGTGGCAGTGAAGACAGACATTCTCATTCCAGCATAATGGATTAGTAAGAAAACATGGCTGGCTCTGTAGACAGTAACTGATGAGTGTAATTTTCATCTTGTAGGATGCATGCACTTGCAGAACATCACAGACCAGGTAGACTAAAGGGACTATTTGATTGCTGAACACCACAAAGGAATTGTAGGAGGTGTTTCGCTGCGTTCATGAAGTTTTCCATCCAGCTAGGACTGAAATCTAGCAAAGATACCAAGAGACTGAATTTTAGGAACTAAGGTTCACTGTTCCAATAGCAGCACCAGACAGAAAAATATATTTTTAATGTTATCTAGTTTAAATTTGGGTAATGTTAATGGTGAATAGCAAACTAAACATGATAAAGTAGGTAAGATACGAATGCATACAATTAGATTCAGATAGAACCTACAATACTAAACTGGTGGCAAACAACTGATGGAAGGATTTAGCCACGAATTGTGCTAATTTTAGTCTCTTCAATTCCACTCAAGCAAGACAAATAGATGGGAAAGCTAATTAACTGTGGACTGAACTAAGGTTTTTTTGAGCCTTTGATTTTTCTATGCAAAATATGCATATAATTAAAAACACCTGTTGGTTTGACATGGTCAAATCTGCACATTTACAGTGCATTTGCGGAAAGGAAACATGGACTCAGTTGGAATATCCATGGGACAGAGGGGAGAAGGTAAGAAGATGTCATGGTTTAGCCCCAGCCAGCAACTAAGCACCACGCAGCTGCTCACTCACTCCCCATACCCTGATGGGATGGGGGAGAGAATCAGAGGCGTAAGAGTGAGAAACACTCCTGGGTTGAGATAAGAACAGTTTAATAATTTTTATAGTTTAACCATATAGATGAGCCACTTCTCCCTCCTTCCTCTAGCCTCTTACTTGTGCTGTTGCCAGCAGCTCAGCTGACCTCATACCAAGCCAGCCCAGAGTTAACTGGCAGGAAAAATGTTGATTTTCTGCTGGTTTAAATTTCCGAGTAGTTCAATGCATGGTCGGTCAAATGCCTTGGGCTGTCAGCCCAAGGGAGCTGCTGAGACTGTACAACATTGTCCCTTTCAACAGTAGCCCATCACTGCATCAGTTTAGCTGTGCTGCCAGACTACACCCTGCAAAAGCTTATGAAAAACTGCGGCAACAAAAACTGCTTCAAAAGGGCAGCCTCAAACCATTTGGAACCAGGAGAGCATCAGTTAAGTGCTGTGTACAGTCCTTAACAAGTAAGATCTACAAAAGAGGGGGCAGAAGCAATAGCAGATCATAGATCTAGAAAGTAAACAAAATTTATCATATAATTTTTGAAGTTACATACTCACTTAAAAGAATCACAGAGAAATCTTAGATCTGTTAAATTAGTGAAAGAATTACAACAGCTTCATTGGTTTAAGATTTTGGGTTTAAAAACAATGATAACTTTTAAACAGCTGAGTCAGTAGCAGCTTCAGCTTCTCTTTCTCCCTGCTGCTTTTAATGACTGTAATTATCAGGCCGCATTTTTTGGCCTGACTGGCTTCCACCTTCACTGCAGACACCACTCCCCACCCTTCACATTATCTTAACAGATGTGATTTATATCAGCTCAGTGAAAACAAGACCATGCTAATCACAGATGTTTTTCTGTTTCAGGATGGCCACTTCTGTGTGACCCTGGGATTCTGAAATGTGGCAAGGGAGAAAAGCTGAGGGCGTGACAACCATAATGCCATAGATGTTCTCTCAACACATAATGTCATACAACGGACTTTATAATAGACTACCACTCCACACAGGACAACAGTGAGGTTTTCTGCGCAGAGTGGCAGAATGACAGCTCCATGAAACAAGACATGTGGCCTTGACCTTGTGAAGTACCCGCAGAGAACGGCCTGGGCACCTTGGGATGCTGTATGAGCAGGAGCCAACATTTAAGCACCCTGTTCAGTCTCTCCAGTAAACAAACGAGACTGAAATGCTTCAGGCAAATGCTGCATGTATCTTACTCTGCAAGTGAACTTTACCCAAATCAAGTGGCAGCATACACCATGGAACCACAGTGTCAAATTAACGCAATTAAAGTGCCAATTAACACAAAATCAGAGCTATCCTGTCCTGTCAGAGGGGGCTCCCAGGCCTTTCAGGACACCAGAGATGATTAAGGCTGAAAATCCTGCTTTAGAGGCAGAGAGATCTCTGCTGAGATGGAACTTCTACTCCTCTGTCTCATATATTATGCAGCCTTTCTGAGGTGCAAATCTGCCCTTTAACGAGTAATCAAATCAATCACTTTGCAAACTCGGAGCAGCCAGCCTAGTGAAATGGGCAGCAAGGCAGGACTTCGTTGCTGATGCTTAGACCTACAGAACAACCCCAGCTCCAAGGGACTTTCAGAAGTCCCCAGCCCAACCTCCTGCTCAAAGCAGGATCAGCAATGGGATCAGACCACAGTGCTCACAAATTGAGCTAGCTGAGTCTTAAAAACCTCCAAGAAGAGAGACTGATCAACCTGTCTGGGCAACCTGTTCCGATACCTGACTATCCTAACAGTGAAAAAGTTTCCTTATATCATCAAGTCAGAACTATTTTTCATTACTAGTAATTTGTCCATGTCTTTTAGCGTATAAGAGTTCAGTTCACCTTAGTCACCAGTTATGTCAGCAGCTTTCCATTGCAGGCACCTTACCTTGTGACAGAGAAACAAATGGTCTATATACAGTCAATAGCAACAGGAAATAAAAGAATCCTTTTGTTGACATACTAGGACAAACAAAGGCTTTTAAAACAAATAAGTTTCACTTGTGTTTACAAACTGTGCCCAATTCAGCAGGAATGTTACCTGTCCTCTACAGCACACTGAATGCACTGAAGACAAATGTAGATTTTTTGTAGAATGGAGTTTGAATGAGCACAATACAGTCTAAAAAGGCTCAAAACCAGAAAGAACCAGAAAGAACAAAACTGATGCAGTATTTGATAATTTAAAATATCTCCTTTTTTTAAAGTTAACCTCAAAGTTTTGTTGAGAAAGTTGTGGAGAAAACACTAGCGGGATTTTGAATACAAAGAATTTGTGCCCTGGAGCCAGCTGGCAAACAACATGGTTACCACTAAGTAGAAAGAAAAGAAAAAGAAATGGGGAAAATAGGAAGGGAATAAGTATGAAAGAACAACAAGACAACAACTGAAGCTTGCTGACTTTTTTTTGTTTGGATGCTAACATTTCAATTTTTGCCTAAGCTATTTCTTCTGTTCTCAGACATGCTCCCAGTCCCAAAGATCTCTCTAGACATCCCTCTCTATGTATAACTTTTTCATCTTAGTAAGGGAAAACACGTTTCCTTCTGGTGTGTGTCATGTTGTGTGTGTGTCGTCTGCCCCCCCCCCCCCCCAAAAACTAGAGAATAGTGGTAATCCTACTGCTCTGTACTACACTTAAAGTGAACCAGTTTGATGATGGATTGAACCATCTCATCTTCACCTTGCCTATTAATCTCGGCAGCTGTTTCTTGCTTTGTTATAGAACAAAGCAGCTGAGATTAGCTCTTGCTACATGCACACAATAGGATTTGTTTTTCATAATGGAGTGTTGCCACTCATTCAACAGGGGTGAGATATAAGGACGAGGAAAAATTGTGTGGTGCCCGAACAGAGAATGTGACAGTACTCTTAATAAGAGGAAGCCTGCTAGGTACAACAGAAAGGTAAGTGAACACAACATTGAGGTTGCACAGGAGTTCATGATAGCATGGGGTGCCAACCCACCCAGAGCTGTTCTTTAAGAATTGAAGATGATGCTTTGTATCATGCTGAACCACTATTAAACACCTCACCCTAAATTCATGTCCAGTTTTATGATTTGAATTGGAACATGGCTCTAGTTATGCTTGACTAAAAGTGACTGCAATGATACAGGTTTTTTTACCTTTTTATTCTGTTGAGGAATGAAGACTATGAGAAAGCGATAAGACCCATCTGAAGCAGTGGGGCAGAAGAATCTTTACCGACAGGCTTGCTAACCTATGAGGAGGGCTTCAAACTAGGCCTGTCATGGAACGGTGATGATGACAGCACGAAGAGAAGTCGGGGCACAGTGAACA